CTTGAACTTCTCCACTTGCTCCACTGTCTCTCCGTTAATCTGAAGAGAACAACGGGCAGGAGAACGAGCACTACGCTTTCCGTTTTAGATGCATTCACACGCACACCGGTCACGTCGCATTCGGCTGCGAACTTTTCTAGGGAGCTCTGTAGATCAGTTTCAGAAGATGCCAATAAACCATGGTCGTCTGCAAACAGCAACCTTCTCGACTTCGCATCTCTTACGCCGATACACTCATCGCCTTGGCTGCTCCTGACTATTCTATCCATGAACGACACAAGCAGGAGAGGATATAGGACGCAGCCTTGGCAGAGACCAGTACCATCCTGAAAAGGTTTCGACTTAACGCCATGTACTCTGACGCAGCACCTGCTACCAGAATACAGTGATTGGATGGCCGTTAGCAGCTGACCATTTATCCCTTTTGCTTGCAGTCATGACCACAAACTGTTGCGTGGAATCCGATCATAGGCTTTTTATAGGTCAACAAAACATGCACAATGGACGGGCGTACTCCCACGATTTCTCATCAATCTCGCACAGGGCAAATCCATGGTTAGACTGCTTCGACCGGGCCGGAAGTCGAACTGCTCTTCTTCTATCTTGGCGTCAGTTATTCCGCGGCACCTTTTCTGTAGCTCCTTTGCGTAGACTCTCTTGGAGGGCTCAATAACATAATACTCCTCTAACTTGAGCACTCCTTGTGGTCACCCTTCTTGTATTGGGGTACAATAACTCCCTTTCTCCAGTCCGCTGGTGTGTTTCGCGTTGTCATGCTGTTTGACACACGTATAAGCCAGCACATGCTTTGTTCTCTTAATGCCTTGAACATTTCAGGATGGTTTTCATAAATTCCAGCAGCCTTTCCATATTTCAAGCTTTTCACACCTTTTGTAATTTCATCTACAGAGATAGTAATATCCGTTCCCTCCTGCATTCTAGGCGAGTCTTGCTGCGGTTGCTCGGGGTTAAGGAGTTCCTTAGAGTACTCTCTCCGTCGCCAAAGAATGTCATCCTTGCTAAGAGGGTGTCTAGACCTGTACTTCAAGACTCGTAGACTGCCCTTATTTTCACTTTGGAGCTGGCGGATGGTCTGCCTGAATACGTTACTTGCGGTCTCCAGCACCTCACCGAAGTTCTCTCAGGAATCAGCTTTGGCATTCGCCACTGCTTTCGCTGCGGTCTCGCGTGCCTCGACATATCGTATCCGAGTAGAAGGCACTTTGTTAAAAAGCATTTTTTTATACGCTGCCTTTTCTTTAACTGTCACTTAACACCTATCGTGTCCACCAGGAAGATTTTTTCTGACCTCCAGGCGGCATTTTAGCATGCCTTTCAAATCTGCAGCACTCGGCGGCCTCCTCGAGTATGCCGCTTTTAAAGAGCTGCCACTGGGATCTGTTCAAACCGTCGTGTGATGTTGTTTGCAAATTTTGCTCTCGTGTCCAGCGAAGATATGTTTCCCGTTTGATTCTATGAATGCTTCTGCCAGGAGATATTCTTATGTTACTCCATCGCTGACAGCGCAGCGTGCCAACAACAAAATGGTGATCGGTTGATAGGTCTGCGCATCTCGGAACGCGAACATCCATTACTATGCATCATAAGTGAGATGATACGATTATCAAATCGATCATCGACTTTTGTGCACAAGCTTCTCGGTACTAGGTATAATGATGCACTCTTCGATATTCGAAGGTGTTCGTCATGGACAGTCGGTTGTTTGCACAAAACTTAGGCAACTTCATGCCATTATTGTTAAGGTCACTAAGGCCGCTTTTTCAAATCACGCCGTTGCACTTTTCAGCGACTACTCCGACATGCACATTAAAATAGTCCATGAGTATTAGGGACGCTGTATTCGGCACTTCGTATGGAGCACTACACTTTCTCAAGGAAGGAATCATATTACATCTCTAAATTGGGCGCAAGAACCTGCACCCAGGTCAACGTTGTAGCCTGCTGTTGCTTCCGTAGGTGGATTAGCACCTTTCGGCTGGGAGGTTTCCAGTGACTGATTCTATCTGCGAGGTTGGGTTCTACCGGTACACCAGCACCAGCCTGAAACGTGCGTCATGATATCGACACCTGAGTAGAGTGGCTTCCACCCGCAGAGGTTCAGGATTCCAGAGCCTTGGCGCTTCGTTGACGAGTGTCCAATAATGTCGAGTTGGTACTTTATGGTGTCATCACCTAATTCTTACTCTTTCCGTCTGAGGGCGGATAAATTCCATTTCCATCTGTGAGTTCCCACTGGCGGTATCGTTCTCATGGAGCCTTTTCAGACGTGCTCTGTTGGCATCGCGCTGTCTGCCTCCGTTCAGAACCGTTAGCGACTTCGTTGCTGACTGGTATCTTCGTCGTCGTTCCGACTGTCTTTAGCTGTTGTGCTGCTACGCCTCCGGCTGGCAGAGGGCGATGAGCTGGTTGTGATCGCAGACTTTTCGCTGTGTGCCTCAGCCCCGCCTTCTCCAATCCCCCCCCCAGCCTGCACAGCCCTTGGTAACTTAGGCGACGACAGAGCCGGTATAGTTTTCGATGGCGTGAATGCCATGATGGCAGGTAGCGAACTTTTGCGTAGATTTCGCCACGGTCTCCAACCCTCCCCCTTTCTTAACTGGACTTGGGACCGACAACGGCGGAGTTAAGTTTCTCATATTTTAGGTTAACTTATTTCTAGCAAAATGATGAGAGTTTGGAACCGTGGCATTGTATCCTTTAACGATTACCTTCTTGCCCTTCACGCCGTTATCGAACGTTATACCAGCACGGTCGTTGACTGGATTACCAAGTCCCTCGCAGGTTGTTAGGAACTGAGACAAACTGTGAAAGGCGTT